ACTTAGTAGAATAATAATTGTATATGTGTCACGAGTAAATTAGATACGTACATACAATTCATTATAATCATCACTGAATAAAATCATTAGTAAATCACGATTAAATTAAATATGTATCAACATCATACCATATAATTTCATAAATTCAGCAATGATTTATAGATAACTAAGATTATACAAATTAGTGGAATAACAACTGTATATGTGTCACGAGTAAATTAGATACGTACATACAATTCATTATAATCATCACTGAATAAAATCATTAGTGATTAACACATTATTCAGTCATTATTAATTATCATATTCTTCCATTTAATAACTAGAGAACAACTAAGTAAATCACTATTGATTTTACTATTGATTTTATTTTCATTCACGATTGAATCATACATCAGGATAAATCATTTCAATCATTTCAATCAGAACTACATAAGAACAATAGTGATTATTACTTAATTCATTTTTATAACAAATGAATACATATCTTAAGTGATTGTTCATAATAACAATGTTCCATTCGCAAAAAAATTAATAGAAATTAACAATTCTTTTTCGTTTTACATAATCATTAAAGAAAAAAAAGTATGAAATCAAAGTCATTTACCTTCACCTTCATCACCAATACCGATCAGTGAATTAAAGTAACCTTCATCACCATAAAAAAACCCCACCACCGGTGTGCTAAGTCACAGACGATTTCAATCAAAGTATCGAAATTTTTTTCCAACGATTACAATAATATTGTTGTACTCTCTTGCAAATTACGATTCCACTCCAAATGTCGGAGCTATGGTGTGCAGAATCAACCAATTTGGTTCCATTTATGTTTATCCAATAAACGTTTTTCATCGTCCAGGCTTCAATCATGGAAAACGGTTGTTACATGTTTATTTAATAAATTTAGGTTATTTTCATGTTGCCTAATTAATACTGATGTAAATATGAAATTTGCTATTTAGACCCTTAGCAAACGATTGGTCCACATTTGTTCTCGCGTTTCTCAACTTTTTAGTGTTCTCAATATAACATATCCCTATATATATATATATATATATATATATATATATATATATATATATATATATATATATATATATATATATATATATATATAATTTTATACCTGTTAAATTTGTCTAAATAGAGACGAGTGCAAGATATTCATCACTAACTGGTTGTCAAGGGTATCTGCCACAAAATTCGTGCTCTAACATATATAGTAGGGACACTTGCACATCGTCTTCATCTTGTAATTGATGAAGTGAGTAATGAACACCTGAATAATGTCAACAAATTTCACTAATTTTGAAGGCAATACAAATGGAAAGACACATCGTCTAAACTTTGTCAAAGATGAAGTAGCAGGGAAATAGTCTCCGATTCGTATGTCCTGTCATGCTGCAATGAAAGAAATTATAATTAGGCATTTGGTGCATATTCTGGACTTTAAATACCTATGTTCCGGAGAACATTCCAGAATAGCATTTCAGATTGAGGCATTCCGGAATACCATTCTGGAACAGTTCTACGCATTCCAGACTTGTTCTAAAGATTCTGGACACGATCTTTGTCTTCCGGAGTCATTTCAGACTATTTCAGAATTAGGTTTTTTTTTTACAGATTTGTTGTTCTAGTGCACACAGATACCCATATAATCTTACAGTAGACTAAAAAACTACTAAAATTCGAAGAGCAATAAATAGTTATGTAATCGCACTAAATCATACAAAAAAAACGAAAATATCTACTTTTTAACATATAATCATAAATAAAAACATATAATTATAAAAACAATCGACACATACCACAAAAACTGAATCTCTTCATTGTTAGAAGAAAACATTGTTTGAGTTTGATGTCCGAAATGTTGTCTGGAATGAATGTGAGTTCAAAATGGAGCCCTAAATGAAAGTGAGTTCAAAAATGTTATTTATAAGGAAACCATATTACTGGTCAGATCACTATACTCGTTTACTCATTTTAAAATACAGGGTTGAAATAGGTATTCCAGACCGAATGTTCATTTTTCAATAATTTTTTTTTGTGGTTATTTAAAAAAAAAAAGAAAAAAATTTGTTACATTACTCAATTTCTAAAAAAAAATCTTAGGAAATTAGCTACCATTTTGTCAAATAGTAATGTACATAGCTTAATAATACAAAAACAAAAGGCATGTTTATGCCTTCGTAGATATCTTTAATTTCGCATTATTGTTTCTTTAGGAAAAACTTTATTGCTAGGAGAAGGTTATAGTTAAAGTTTTTAGATTCACAAAGCACTTGTCACTTGATACCATTGGATCTGAATCTTTGATTAGAACGGAGGGAATGGATTCGGCAAAGAGCTCGACGATGTTGAGTTGGCTTGGCAGACACCGCATCAAGAACTCGACATGTCGAGTTCGAGCATCCAATTCTCTCTCTCTCTCTCTCTCTCTCTCTCTCTCACACACACACACACACACACACACAAACACACAGAATTCAAATTTTACCTATCTTTTATTTTTATTCATATATCACAACTATTATCAATCTTTACAACTTTTAAATCTTCATCTCTCAAACCTTCAACCCTAATTTACCTTTCTCAAATCTCAATTCCATCTTAGCAATATAAATGCTCCGAGTAGTGGGAAATTTATGATAAGACCATGAATCCCGATAAAAGACACAACTTTGGCCGGTGCATGAGTTTGTGTATCGGAAGGCCATACCGTCGGCAACACACTCAATGAGGGGATTTTTGGACGAGAATTACCACACATTTTCTCATCGAAATGAATCAATGTAATTATTGTTCGAAAGATCAAATGTATGCAAAATGGAAGTCCACGAACAAAGTGGTATCGGATTTTAACACTTTGTTTATTAACTTGAGACTCATTATGAAGATGATGGTGAGAATGATGTAGATGACATCATTTTAAACAAAACTCTTCAAAATTTCCGGTTAGGAAATGGAAAAGCTTTCAAATATTTGGAGTTTTGAAATGTTGGTAAGGAGTACATAAAGCAACTTCCAACGTAACACTAATTGTTATTTTTATGTTATGTTTTAATTTAGTGCTACCTTTCAATTTCAAGTACTATTTTAATTTAATGTATTTAGAGTATTTTATAAAATTTTATTAAGTTAATGACTTGCCATGACAAACCAATCTTTTCAAATGACAAAAACTCGGAGAGGCATGACAAAGGTGATGTGGTTATCATTTTATAGAAAAAACAACATGACAAAGTTGATATCACACCCTCTGTCCTTAATACGACTAGATATATTGGAAAATTATATTTTGTTTTTCATAACATAACAACCCAACATCTTAACTCTTTCAAAATTTGAAAGACAATCTTGTATAGAAATCAGGTCATGTCTTTTATAGAAGAAACCTCCCTTTGCAATAATCATGAGCTGAGTGTGAAATGTTAAAACGAGTTTACGTTTTTACCACTAAGATTGTTGTGTGCTACATTCATGACTTACTAAATTTAAGATTTCGGTATGTTTGACAACATCCCCACACGCCACAGGCAACATAAATCTTGTGCTATCTCATGTGCGACAACCATGACATATGTCCCACAAACAAACCAACTCAAAACACCCTTTCACATAATGCAAATCCATTTTCCCAAAACACCCAATAAACAAATAATTATAAATAAATATATTAAATCACTTCCATCAATATTATTATACAAGTTTATTACTCCCATCAACACAAAAAAAAAACCCACTCTCTTTGTAGCTTCTCACACCAAAAAACCCTACCCAACCTCTCACAAGATTTATGTGTTAATCTTTCCCTTTTCTTTCATATAACCACACCCCCTAATTATCTCCTCAAGTGTCTCCAAAACCCCACACTTCCTTCCTTCAATCCCTCCACCATGGCCGACACACATCGGGACCCACCACCACCAGGCACTCGCCGAGGAGCCAGAAAACGAACCGCCGCCGCCGCCCCATTTGAAGCAGCAACATCCGAACCAGGCTTAATCCCAAACCCTCCTTGTGGAGCATGCAAATTCTTAAGAAGAAAATGTGTCAACGGGTGCATCTTCGCACCCTACTTCGGGTCTGACCAGGGTGCAGCCCGGTTTGCAGCAGTGCATAAGGTGTTTGGCGCCAGCAACGTGTCCAAACTCCTTACGCACATTCCAGTGAACCGGCGGCAACATGCAGTCGTGACCATCTCTTATGAGGCCCAAGCCCGCTTGTCGGACCCGGTCTATGGTTGCGTCTCAACCGTCCTTGCTTTACAACAACAGGTACACAACTACACATGCAAATATGCATGTAATACACTAATAGTAATACCACTTGTATTAAAACATAAATTGTTGTGTATAGAAAAAAATTGTTATGTTCGAATCAGCTGCTTAAACATATGCAGACTGTATATAATGTTTGTGGTGATAGGTGGCGGCGTTGCAGACCGAATTAGCAATGGTGCAAAACCAGCTGATAAACAATAGACTAATAGTGGCAAATGCACTTCAGAATTCACAACAACAATTGGAACCCATGCATCATCTTTCATTGTTGCAGCCTGCGTATTCGAATGCTTCTTCTGCTTCGAATAATATACTTAACATGAACAGCTTTGATTCTAGCTTGAATAATCTTCGAGATGATCATCAGAGTGGAACTCTTTCACAGAGTTTTAATCCTCTGCAACTATGTCAACCTTGTCATGGTGAGGAAGATGACGACGAGGAAGAAAGTGGGGACCCTTTGGCCTTTGCCAATCAAATTCTCCAATCACGATGATTATTGATTTTATTTTTCAAAGTGGTCTTAACAATGATTATGCAATTATGACTTTAAGTTTGCATTTTCAGAAAATGGAATAAAAAGAACCTCTGTTTAATGTGGTTTTGTTTCTTTTTCAGATAATCTACACAGAACGACATAATACGCAAACTTTGAAAGTTAATTTGATATAAAAAAGAAACAATCTTTAATCTTTATATAGGTATACAAAGTTTTATACATCATTTACACATTCAACCACTTTATGTCTTTATCCATACAAAAAATACCTACACTAACTTGATATAAGAAAATCATTTGATAATCTTGAAGAATCTGTGATGTTTTCAAGAAAATGTCATACCTTGCTGACATCATGTATGTTCAGAAGGCATGATTCCTGTGCAACAACTGGTGCCACAAAAACACTTTGACCCATTTGGATTCAAACCCGAATCTCCATAACTAAAAGTGAGTTCTTGATCTTTTAATATATCTTCGGATGCAAAGAAGCACACGCGAGGTAGTAAAGCACCTGAGTTTCTTACCAAAACTGTTGAAAGATTCCCACCATCACAAGAATGGTTTATGAATCGTGCAATGTTGCCAATTTTTGTAGCATCAATGTTGATTCTCATACATGTGTTTCCGGATGGAAGATGTTCTCTCACAACTAAAAGAGCTGATGTGTGTTTGTTTGTGGATTTGAGTTTATCATATATTTCTTGACGCTTTCTTGCTTCTTTTGTTGTCAAAAGTTCACCTGTCAAACAATTACACTACCCATTTATTTACACTTTAATTCATTATGAGATAAAAAATAAACAATATGGTTATGTATTAATGTATGTAGGTCCTCTGTGGGTGTTTTTGGCTCATGAAACGCCCACCTAAAAGCCAACATATAGTTGTTGTATGTCCATATTTACAGCAAGCAGCACATACTTAAGTGGCATGCCAAGAATTAGGACAATTGTGAAAGCTTAAATGGCACAAACCAATGAAACTAGATTGGATTGCAATTTGAATAGATGTATGATTGTATGTAGGTCCTTTATGGGCATTCTGCTCTTCATTATGCCCATCTAAAATCCCACATTTTTATGTTATTATTTGTCCATGTTTACAGCGAGGAGCACATACTTAAGTATCCTGCTAAGAATTAGGACAATCGCAATGAATATGTTCATAAATGGAAAACTATAACGGTAGACATTTTCACAAACAGGTTACCTGCATATTCGCAAATGAATTCTCCACTTCGAATAAACTGATCCGCATGTAAGCCCCAACCTTTCCCCGGACTTCTAACGATCTTCAATCGGATTGATATACCTCTCTGGGACACTCGGTTAGAACATTCCAAATCGCAAATGCAACCCGACCCGCATTCCCATCTCAACCCGGAAAAGTTCTGCCTGGAGCACGGACACCCCGCCGAATCGTTACCGCATCTATCGCATTCACACCTAGCACCATCCTCAAGCGTCGGAGGAAGAATCAAACCTAGGTCTCGTCGTTGGAGAGGATACAAACCCCACGGCTGGCGGGGTGGGTCGTCGTAGAAACTTAGGACTTGAGTCGGAGTATAGATGAAGTATGCATATGGATGATTGTCCACGGTGGAGTTAGCGAAAGGAATGGGGAGCTTCTCGGAGTTCCTACAGGCGTCGGATGACCGGACGGCGGTAACGGATTTGGCTAAGAGATGTAGTGTCTTGCAGGTTAGCGAGATGGCGGATAGCTCCACCGGATATAGGTATGGGAGAACATAAGGAGCGGCATCGGATAGTTGCACAACCCTGTTCGGTTTCTTTCCATTGTTGTTGCTCATTGATTTACGACTCTAGGTTTTTTTCCTTATAAAAGGAGACATTGCAGCTTTGCTTACAGAGTTTAACCCTAGAAAGAAGTCCATGGAAGAGAAGTGTGGATATGAAATGGACCGGGCAAGATCCGAAATGACCCGCTTTCTCTTGCAATGCAAACAAATAAAACTCGAAAAACTCTACTTTTTTTTAAAGAAAAAAACTAGTGAAGAGACCCATGCTTTCCCATGGGTCAGAAGGTTTTTTTTTTTTTTTAATGAAATAGAATATCTTTGAAGAAATGATTTTTTTTTTACTTTTTGATGATTTTCATTCAAGAAAGATACATGTATTCTTTTTAATATTTCTTTATAGAATAAAATGATATGCTATAATTAGAAAGCTCAAAATTGTAAACCATAAAGAAATTACATTGCTAATACATTGCTATAATGAGTGAGAAAATGAATTTACATTGCTAAAACAAATAAAAAATAAAGTACATTGCCTATGCTGGCTAAAAGAGTAAAGTCCATTGTTATTCTTGCAATTCAAATGGAGTTTCTTGTTTTCTAGGCGTAGCCAACAAAAGCGATTTTGTTTCGTCCTTTATGAAATTTGGGATCCCTTCACCAGGATAACTGTTAAAATTCTTTGTGAGTTGGTAGTGAAATTACCAATTAGCCCATTGTAATAAGCAGTGTTGTAGAAATCGGCGTAATCTGTCGATTAATCGCTAATCGGACCTTCACCGATGAGATTTATTGCTAATCGGTCACTATAATCGGGTTTGGTCAATACAGGTCAAAGTCAGAATTAATCGGACCTAATCGGACATAATCGGACCTAATCGGGTCTGGTCAACGCAGGTAAAAGTCGGACCTAATCGGCCCTAATCGCCGATTAATCACTTTTTTGTAGGATTAAAATTAGATTTATAAAATTTTGAAATTTTTTCTTAATAGTTAATGGTCCCCGAATAATCTCCCGATTAATCCCCGCCTAGCCGATTAATCCCTAATTGCTAGTTCACCGATTAGCGGCCGCTTAGCGATTTCTGCAACCATGGTAATAAGTAACAGAACAAAATGCAATATAAGAGGCCAAATCATGATTTCATTATCCAAAAAAAAAAACTTCAAGAACGTTTCACCAATCTAAGTCTATGGTCTTACTACAGAAAGAAAACTCTATTATCTCATTAAGTAACTGAACTCGTGACTAAATCACAAAAAAAAAAAAAAAAAAAAAAAAAAAAACAGCAACAGCGAACCTTGTACAAAACATACCTTAAGTGTTGGGAAGCTAATCAGCCTTCACCTTCATCCCACCTCCCATACAGTGAGAAATAGATCAGTATCTAGAACTGCTATTTTCTTTCAACTAAGGTAGTAACAGTTGTAGATTTCCTGAAAAAGAAATCAAAATAAGTGAAATTAACTTAAAAAAACTTTATATGACTTTAAAAAAAAAAAGCTCAGGTAATGGACACATAATCTGTGTAAAATCCCAAAAAATAAAAAGTTTTCCAGGAACCTTGTACAAAAAGCACCAGTAGACCACGACCTCACTTGTTGACTGATTATATTCTCCTTGTTGGACAGCTTTTGATGCTTTTTTTCTTTTGGCTTTTTCTTGCGGCTTGTATTCATCTTCCAGATGCAATGTATCATAGTTGATGGATCTCAAATAGCATTTGTAAGCATATCCAAACTAAAACATATCTGATTGAAAAATAAGGCAACAGATTTAAAGAAACCTTTATTAATTTAAGTCATTTTTGCATATCACTCACTAACATGTTTCCTGGTAGCTTGCCATGTCATTTGTTAATTTTACTAAAAGTTGATGATAAATAAATAAATAAGACCAAGTAATTATTTAAAATGAGCTTGATGTTTTATATTTTTAGGTATAAAATATTATTTGAAATTAGTCATAATCTTGTTGATGTTTATTGATGTTTGATATTCTCAATTCAACAGCATCCACCACCACAAATACTATAAAAATAAATAAATAAATAAAACAGATTTCATCAAACAAAAACTTTACATTACCTTGTTTAAAAGGGCAACGAACAGGAGCTTCACCAATATGCATTTCCAATCCATAACTATTGCTACCTTGAAAAAAAAATGAATTACACTTTATAAAGAATTTTTTTTTATATAATACCAATTATTAACTATATACTTGAATTAAAAGGGCTTTTACTTGTTATTGCCACCACAAAGTACAAAGTTGTTACATATGCCATTTCTGATTCAGCAATGTTGATGAAATCATTAAATTTCTAACGATAGCATTTATTATATATAAAATTATAAAAAGTAAAAGTAACTTCATAAGAAGGCTTATCCATTTACCTTTTGAAAAACTTCAAAGACAGGGAAACCATTAGTAGATGCAGCAAATTCATGTTCAAACTTTTCCAGTCCCTTAATAAGTGACTGCATTTGTTCTGTTAATCATTTAAATTGTATCTACAAGAAAGGTCTTTCATTTATCATTTTCTTTAAAAGAAAATAAGATTATATTCAGGAATCAAAAGCGTAGGATTGGAAAATTATGCATACCTTTCATCATGTTTGTCTTGAAAACTCTTCACAAATCAAAATATACCCATGATAAACAAATAGTAAAGGCTTCTAGGCATTTCATCGAATAGTTGGGGTGTAGAAACATGAAAGAAAATCCATGAAAAACTTACAGTCACAAATCCCTAATTCCTCAATTGACCAGTCACATATACCACCTATAACACATAACACAACGTACCCACACCAAAAAAAACACCATTCTTCTTCCCATTTCGCATAAAAAAACCAAAAAATTACGTCAAGCAAAGCTTATAAGATGTCAAACTTAAATACTAAAGTTGAAAGCAAGTTCGAATTTGTATAGTCAAGTAGAGCAAAAATCGAAAAACCCAAGTCAATTAAATTAAGAACAACCACCACAAGAGAGTTAACATCTTTCTCTATTACCTCCCCAAAGAAGATACCACATAGACATCACTTTGGGGCCATTGGAAGCTGTGAAGGAGAATTTCGATAATGTAAGGTTGCTAACCTGTGTGAAGAAGTGTATGTTGGTGAAACTGTTGGATTAGTGTCTAAGTCCATAACTATTTTGGTATGTACTTGACTCGATTATGAGCATGGTCCTTTTGGGTTGCCTTCACCATAACAACTTGTAGGATGAATTATGGAGAGATAGGATTAATTATGATTTATTAATATATTATGAGAATAATATATTAAAGGAGAAATCATATTGTTTAATTAATATTGATCAAGAATTAATTGAAAATTAATTTTGTGGTCAAAAGAGATTAATTAAACTTAGGGGACTGGAATTGTAATTATAAGATAATTGCATTTGGGCTATGGATCACCTTGCAATATAGGTTGGACGAATTCTATCGGAAGCCCATAAGGAATTCGTCTAAGGGATGTTCTAAAAGGAGTCCAGGGGCTGCTTAGGGCTTAAGCAGTCAGATTAAGGTTTCCTAGTTGAAAACCCTAATGGCCTAACTATATAAGGACCCCTAAGGCCCCAAAAACGTGATGAATGAATCCCTTAGGGTTTCTGGACGTTTTTGTGCCTCTTCTTCTCCTCCTTCTTCATCCTTATTGCTTATGGTGTTTGTGACTCCATTAGAGGTGCAACATTTGAGGCACTAAGCTTTCATAAGTCAAGATCAAGAGGAATTGAGATTGTTATTGCTACATAACAATCAATGTAAGATCTAAATCCTATTCTTATGTTAATATCGATTATCACATGCTAGGTCTAGGGTTTATTGCTTTGGTACACAATGTTGTATGTTTAATTAGAAAAACCTAGATGAAAGCAATTAGGGTTACATGAACACCATAGGAATGATGTTATGCTTAAAAGCCATCAGTGGTATCAGAGCCTAGGTCGTTTTTCTAGTTGAATAGATGCACAAGTGAACTGCCAAAGGATCAAAAGTCGAATTTTTTTACTGTCTGCACCGCCGACTCGGCGAGTCCATCAGTGGACTCGGCGAGTCCATCAGTGGACTCGACGAGTAGGCTGAACTCGGCGAGTCCAGGGTGCTGTTGACGGAATTTTCGATTTTTTGAGCAGATTTTGTTAAAGATAATTACCAAAACTCGTTTTTATTGCCTAAAATCGATTTTCTATGTTTGGAATGATTATCCTTATCAAAATTAATGAATTTGGTTAAATATGGATAATATAGGATTATTATTATTAGTCAAATATTTGACATATAAGATTGAAAAGTTTCAATTTACATCCTTAAGTTTTATAGTTTAAAATTGAACTTAATAGTTTTAGTTTTGAAATTTAAATAGTTAAACCTAATTGTTTTGAAAGGTTTCAAAACTTGCCCTCAAGTTTTGGAATTTAATTTTTGATTAAAAGTTTAGTTTTAAAATGATAAATTCTAAAACCCTAGTTTTGAAAAGTTCAAATCACACCCTTATGGTTTTATTAAATTAATTAAGTGTATAATTAAAAGAGAGTTTATAAATCCATAGTGATATGGTTTACATTTAATTAAATTAAAAAGTGTAATTTATTAAATTAGACCACATAGTATTTTAAAAGTGTAAAATACACCCTTATACTATATATAAAATTAAAATGTCTAATATTATATATGTATAACTTAAATGTTAGTCTTACCGTTAGTAGGCCTCATTCACGAAGCCGATCTGTGAAGGGGGTATAAGGTTATGGCCTATAAAATGACCGTTTAATGGGTGTCCACTCTCACTCACCGCTTCTTTGATTGGTGGAGGGTCGTTAGCCGAACGGGTAGGATAGGGCAAACCCTTTCCATTAAAAGTATAATGAATTATAAAGTAACTAAATGTTTTTAAAAAATTCTCAATCTTAGTTACTTTAGGAAAAAGTGAATTTGATGCAATTCCATGAAATTACACTTTGTACCCTTGCTAAGACGTTAGTGGAGCGTGTGTGGTTAACCGTCACACTAAATGGGCTCTAAGCAAAGGTAGCGAAGGGTGACTCGATGTTTGTCATATATCGATGGAGCGTGTGTGGTTAACCGGCACGTCGATTAGGTGACTGTAACATTGGGGGCACCATGTATATTTGTA